TCTGCCTTGGAGTAATAGGTGTGTTAAAGAAACTGGAGGTGGAATGGTAATCTTGAGAAAAGTGCTAAATTCTCAGAGAAAAAAGTCTTATAAATGCAGAGGAAAACAAAAAAAAAAAAAAAGGACCCTTTAAAATTATAGAAATTTTACTGTGTTAGAATAGCTTAATAGGTAAGGTAGAAAAGCTTGAAATTTCTTTATTCAGAACCAGGCAATGGAGTGTAGTTTAGCTGAGTAGTTATGCTTCAGACTTTCATTCTCTTTGTTATCAAAGCAACATGAAAGGCGTAGATGCTTGGGCAAAAGAGAAATGACTGTGCAACCTTTCTTCTCCTTGAGTTGTGCCTTTGTGCATGACTTATTACAGTGTTTTCAAAGGTATTGAGGAACAGGATGAAGAAGTGTGCATTTACATTAGTGGTTTTGTTCAGATCAGGAATGCATTTTGAAACAACTTGTGCAGTTGTCTGGACTAACGTCATTTGATTTGCATTACTGAGTGGTCTCAGGGCTCATGAACTCAGCTCCTGCTGGATGAAATGGAGACCAGCACTCCCACCGCTAATCCAGCTCATTAGATCAGACCAGAGCATGCCTGAAGTAAATCCCCCCTCTCCGCCCTCCTGTTTTTTTAAATAACATGGCATTAGGTCCTCAGCACTAACTGTCTCCACATGTTTCTTCTAATGGCAGTGTAGGCACAGCCTTAAGCTACAGAAATGGCTTCATTGCTACCCAGAGCTCCCTATCTACATCTTTGGAAGATCTGCGGCTTCCACTCATTCAGAGGAGTGATAGTAGGTGCCTGGTAAGTTATTTTTTGCAGGAGAAAACAGCTGTTTAAATAGCAATTATTATTGGTAAGTGGGCATGGTACAACCTATCGCTGTCTTTCTCCTGAATATGCAATGCACAAAATTCCCCCGAGAGGCAGGGTCATTAAGGAGCTACCTAGATACATATGCTTTTGCAAGTCTTTCATCTAACTCAGAGGTGGGAATGCAAATTTTGAAACTTGGGGACATCCTGTGGCTTTGTAACACTCTCCAGGAGAGATGTGCTCATTGAGATGAATAGCTCTCACTCATTCATATTCCTCATTTACTCATGTAACATTTATAATATGGGTAATGTTCCTCCTTTTATAATAGCTCAGTGTGAGCTACAGGAAGAACTTAAAACTATACTTCATTGTACTTATCTGTTTCAGATGAGGCTTGCAGACCTGTGGAAGGGGCAGAGCAATGCTGCTCCATTGCAGTGGGAGCCCAGGGAATACTGAGCTGCAGGCAGATGTGAACACTGGATTTCCTCAGCATGCACAGAGGGATAACAGAGGAGGTGGGGACTCAGGCCTACCTGGTCTCCTGTTCCTGATCTCCCCAGATGCTTTGGTTTGCTCTGACAGCCAATTAAACCCCTCGAGGTTCTGACTCCCATCTCTTCTATCCCTTTCTTGGCTCCTGGGAGCCAGCAGAAGCTGGATCTGGTGATGCAGGCTCTCTCTCCATTGTTTTTGACATGTAGGGGTACATGGTTTGCAAACTCATAGCATGTGACAGGGTGGTTGCTAAGAACGTAACATTTTTCATGCAAGAGGGCACAAACAGCTGTTGTATCTCAAAGGACACCGCTCTTGTGCCATACAGTGGGATGGTTGGACTTGATGATCTTAGAGGTCTTTTCCAACCTTAATGATTCTATAATGATTCTATGTTTAAAACAAAGGATTCAGGTGCTGCCCTGTTTCTCTCTCAAGCTCTGCACTACCATCCTTCATCTCACCGAAGATGTGCCTTTTTACGTCAATACCAACAACAAATATCCTAGTAGATGTCATGCAGTCCTTGAGTTTCTTCTTTGTTGGGATGTGAACTCTGCTTCAGAGTAGTGTTTTCTGTATTGTGATTTTTTTTTTATTTTTCTCAAAGTGGATTTTTTTTGTCTGTCTGATTTCGGAGGCAGATGATGGCTGCTTCATGGTATCAAAGCCTGTGAAGAGATTTCTTAGCAAGTCTTTTTAGACATAAAATTTTTAATAAGTACTTTTCACACTTTAATAAGTACTTTTAATAGGTACTTTTTTGAGACTCCTGCTTGCTTCAATAGCTATAGCACAAAGACTTGAAGAAGATATATCTGAATTAGTGGCAGTCATTAAAATAGTTTTTTAAACTGTAGAACAAGAGCTTTCTTAAATTACAGTGGGATGTCAGGAGTGAAAATGCTTGGTACTGGTGACAGAAACAGCAAGAGAGGAGAGAGAAAGGAAAAATAAAGCACCAGTGATAAAACCAAGCAAGTTTGTTGAGGAACTGTTGCTTAATCCTTACAGTAGAATTTTAAGTTCTTCTCTAGGACTATAAACATTGAGCACATAAAAATTAACTTACAAAAAATTATGTACCTTGTTCTTCTCAAAACAAAAACGAATGACTTGGCCAGCTTCATTGCCAGGCCTGTATGCACTGGCAAGTCAATATAAGGAAAGTAAATAGAAAAAAATGTAGACAAGACTTTGAGCAATTGACCTGGGTCAGGAAGAAGTGAGGAGGAGCATGGAATGGGACTGGCATGGTGCTGCTGCTTGGAAAGAAGGCTTTTGTTTTCATCTGCGTGCCACGTTGTTAAGACACGCATGGGGAATACTTCTGACATGACTGAATGTGGTGGCTTGACATACTGCACTGGCCTCTGTCTTAGCAAAAATACAGGAACATTTTCTATTCTGAAATAAAGAAATAACATTCATCTTCCTTTCCATCTACTTGAATAGGAGTTAGATTGGACCCTAAATATTTTAAATAGCTTTGTGCTGAATTTCAGCACAAACTTGCTCAAAATTAAAATTTTTAACTTGGAAATGTAAAGGAAGGCATAGGTGAGGGCATAAATGACAACTGGGGAAAAAAGACCAGTCAACAAGTTATTATTCTCATCTTCCCTTTCAGTTTTTATTACACATCACCCGATACCTAGCAGGGATCAGTTTGCTGTTGAGGACTGTAGGGATCACCTCAAAACAAAGAACAATAACTGAAATGCAGAAACCCTCTAGCACATGAATTCAAGATCTTGCCATAGCCTCAGTGTTTATTTTTCTGTAAGTGGCTTGAACGATGGCACTGCTATCAAGTGCAGAATCTCAAGATCTGTAAACAACAGTAAATAATGAAGGATGATGCAGACAACTGTAGATGCTTAGATAATCTACATTTTACCAACTTTGCTAAAAAAAATATTCAAGGAAGATATTTCAGCAAAAGAAATCCAGCAAAATGCAATGTGATGCAATGAAACACAAGGTTCAAAGAACATAACTGAGTATTTTAAAAGATGAGCTGTTTTCTAGACTAAAGAAGCACTGATTAGCCTGCCATGCAGGGAAATTACTAGACCTGATCTGAGTTAGTAAGGCTAGCTCACCTTTTTCCCCAAAATAATTGAAGCATATCTGGAAAGTGCTAAGAATTTGCTGATTTAAGAAAATTAAATGTTTTGCTCAATTCCAATTTTAGTTGCTCCAATTCAAATGCAAAAAGCAACTTAAGCCAGTGTATGCCTTTGGAAAAGGAAGGAGGTAGTTCAGAATAGTTATGTAGGAAAAACTCAGATTTGGCTTGATTATAAAAAACTTATTGAGAGAAATGTGTACATTTATCAGACTAAATTGAAAAGATGGGAAAATAATGAAGGAATTTTACTGTGCCGTAGTTGGTTTTTCTATAAATTTGCACTGTGTTTTTTTTTTTTTAATCAATGTTTTAATTTTGGGGGTGCTTTGTCAGACTGTGTGTGTGCATACAAATGACAGGGAGAAGAAACTTCAAGTGCCTAGAATTGGCAAGCTTAATTTAATTTTTTTAAAACAATCAGTGCTGGTGGTGATGGTAGTAGTTCTCTTTCTGTGTACTCTTTCTAACATGACTCATTTGTTTGTGATTAAAAATTTAAAAAGCCACTTCAGGCATCCTGTGAGGATTTTCTGCAAATCCCTGTATGTGTGTCAATGGGCTCATATGCAATTTTAGCTCAAAAAGTGCCTTTGAAAATCTGCCTTCTGGCATCTAGGATGTTAATAAAAGACGAGGTCATGGCCAAAATTTGCCTTTTCTATCACTGCTGCTGTAAATGGTAGATGAGCTTGTACTTTCAGAGCAGAATTTGTCCTTTAATTGGTGTTGGCTCATCCTGTGTGATCATGAAATATTACAGTAACACATGGGGTTTTTATTGTAATTCCTTTGCAATGGACATTCTTGCTTTTTATTCCTTCCCCATAGATTGTTGTTTATCAACTCTGCGCAAAGGAGAATATTTACTCTGGAATGATAATTCTTTCTCTACCCTGATGAGTGAATGCATCAAGATTTGCTAGTTCATGTTTATATCAACTATTTGGAAACAATGGAAACACTTCTGCTAAACCCAGCTTCTCCATCCATGTTTTTCTTTGGCTTTATTCATAGGGCAATCTGAGATTATTTTTCTATGCATTAGAAAGGTTTTCATTAAACCTTTTCCTCATCTTGTGATCTAAATCTGAAAGTTCTCAGCCAAACCAACCATTTTTGTTCAGGACCTTGCTTTTCTCTTTCAAAGGATGAGGAGATATGAAAAGGCGACTTTTGTCAGCTGCTTTTTTTCCCCACAGGTCCCTTGTGGGACTCCACAGAGGGTTTTTTGGGTATGTATTTCAGACTACTGAGAAGGTTGAAAGGGGAATAGTGTATCTGCAGTATGGAGGAGGAGAAATCGATACTTTAGGAAGGCTGAAGGCAAGACTGGGAAGTCAAGGGGGATAAGCAGATATTTTGATAGATACTGCTGTCTGCTTCTCATCTGTGGTTATGTGGGCCATCTTGTACTTAATTTCACATCTGGTTCTGTTTTTGGAGCCTGAGGTAAAAAGGCTGTTCTATACTGGAAGTGTTTAGAATTGATTACTCCATTTTTATATTTTCTTTTTTTTCATTGTACAATGATGTGTGTTAATTTAGGATGAAGACTGTGCTAGCATGACTATGCTGAATTTTCTCAGGGGCAAACTGCTGCATATACCTGAAGCCACACTGAAAATCAACGTGGAAATCAAAGTCAGGACAAGGCAATTTGCTTTATGAGCAGGGTGATTCACCAGAAGCTAATGAAAGATCCAGCAGAATCAGTCTAATGTCAGCAGAAGATTAGTAACACATGAGGATTTCTCATAAAAATCCAGTTCTGACTAAATGTTTTTGTTGTAAACAACTGCTGCTGAAATGATACATGAGAAGAAACACCCTACTTCATTACAATGCTTGGAGTCTTTCTCTTTTCACAATATAAATGCACCAATTTTCTTTGGCTTTTATAGCTCTGGCAGATAAAGTGTAGAGGGTAGCTTGAAGGATCACCTAGTTTAACCTTTATTAGCACATGAATGCATGAAAGAGTATTAAATAGAAAACAGAAATGCCTCAAGATCATATCAAGTGCTCAGTTTGTATTTACAGTTTGGGCTGTAATTTGTGAAGATACTGGATGACAAGTCTTTGTCTCCTTGGCTGTTAAAAAGAAGAGGTTGGAATTCTAGAGGTAATAAAGCAAAGAAGAACCTCTATTTCATTGCTTTGATTTTTTTTACTTTTTTTTTCTCCTTTAAATATATTTAGCACTTTCACTCTCTCCTGGAATAAAAAATTGTAAATTCTAAGTGTGTCATTTGGCTTTCATGACATTTTATTCAGTGTCAGAATGTCAGAATGTGACAACGCTCATTTGTTTCTACCCATCGACATGATAAATATGGAAGTATGAAGTATAAATCTTATTCTGGAGATGCTGCTGAATTAAAATCCTATTATAATTTTCCTTAAAATGCAAAGCTGTGAGTTGAACACTGTGAAAACATGCAGTAAATACCCAAATTTTTTCCATTTTTGCTTGCATACTGGGCTTTTGAAATGTACCTGTTGTGTTGAATAAGTATTCTTTATACTGAGATTTGGCTGGTGTGAGTAGGTTCTAGTGAGGACATTCACACACACAAATTCCAGTTATTTTGTAAAATTCACTGGTAAGCTTTTTCCTTCCTCTAAGAACCCGAAAAGACAGATGTAAAAGAGTAGAAAGGGCTCCCCTATCAGCCAAAGCACATCAGTTTGCAACTCACACACAATGCGGTGGTGCTGAATAGAAGATTCCTGCAGTAGACACCAGAAACTCATTTTCCATGGGATATAAGGAGGCATTTTCCCTTTCAGTTCAAATTCCATTTGCTGCAAATAATTTAGCTTTCTGCACTTTCTAATTGTGCATGAACAAAAATGAAAGGGTGGCCTGTAAAAAAACTTTACTAGAAGCTACAAGCAGATTGGCCAAATGTAGCTTTGTAGAGGTAATAGATGTCGAAGAGTTTGTGTGCAAACCAGGTTCAACTGCTTCTAATCCATATTCTGCTGCAATTTAACATCCATATTCCCCTGCTCCACCTAAGTCTCTATATTCTTCATCCCTGCTTTTCTTCCTCGTGTTCCAGGCTGCAGGGGCTGAGGGCAGTGAGCTGTGAAGCTTCCTGCTGTTGCTGTTTCCATTGCAAAGTGCAGGAACTCTCTGTGTTGGAGTACGAAGATGATGGGGGCTCCCCATGTGGGAAGGGGTAAAAGAAGCACTCACAACAGAACTAGAAGAAGGGTGGGGTCAACTGGAGTGCCTGAGGGGTCCCTGCTGGGACCACCACTATTTTTGGAAGGATTGTGGTACCAGGTCCTTGCCACGTTTCCCAAGTGAGTGCATCTAATCACAACTGTCACTTACTCAGATAGATGGAAAAGATTTGGGATTTTTTGTTGCCCAGCATCCAATTTCCCTCATGGAGCCACATAGTTCATAGCAAAACTTCCTGTTTCGTGTTTAAAAAAAGGGTCTTTTGCCTTGTTAGAGGCTCTCTAAGAAAGCTCTGTGCTCTCCTGCTCATTGAGGCTTCTGGCAGGGTGACTCGAGCAAGGGTGGTTTGGGTGGGTTTGCTCTGCATTGTGGCAGGAAGGGAAGCAGTTGGGGGACGGTGGCTCTGGACACCAGGGCCAGAGGGAGGGGGCTGGATCACTGATGGCAGCCAGTGCTCAGGTTGACGTGGTCACCTCTGGGGCTTCACATTCAACATGCTGAGCTCTCCCTCCTCTCAAAATTGCTCAGATGAAAAATGCTCTAGTGGGAACCTGACCTTTTCCTTCCTGGTCACCAGAAGTCTGAGAAAAACAATAAACTTCTATCAAAATTGTCATTTTCTTGAGAAAAGGTCACAATTGTTTAAAAAAAGAGGATTTTTTTTGTTTGTTTTTACTGGCTGGTTTTGTTGTTAAATTATTTCAGGAGGGGAGTGCAAAAATCCAGCTTGTTCAAGTCATGGACAGTCTACTATAAATTAAAGGGATATGGAAGTGGGCTGGGCACTCCATGGGAGTTGTAAGCTTTGATTAAAAAACAGATTTCTTTGTTTCTATTAAATTAGTTATTAGCCAGTTCAGGACTTCAACCTTGCCTTCAACAAATGGTTAGTGAATGCCCCCTCCCTGCCCCCCCACGTTTTTTTTTTATATTAAAGAAAAAAACCCAGGAGAGGTTGTATCCATGTCCTTGGCTTTGCAGGCTGGGAGCCTCAGAGAGGGTCCTGTGTAAACAGGTCCTATCATACTTCTCTCTTGACCTGGTTAAGAAGGCTTTTCATATAGCATTGACGAATGGGAGAAAGTGTCAGATATTTTGTTTAATGGTTGACTGCTGAAAGTCTGAATTTTGAGAGTAAAATAATCCCAGAGCCACTGAGAAGCCACAAAATGCTCATTTTTTTGCATGTTTTCACTTTCTCTGTTTTGACCTTGTCAATGTAGAAGGTCTTAAATAAAGCAGAGAACTCAAAACATAGGCTTTTTGGAAGTAATTTTTAATTACTTAGCACTTAGAGCCTAAATTACTCTTTTTTGTTGAAAAACCTCACAAATGTCAGGTTTTAAAAAGAGTATGTGGTAAATGTTTGAGGGTGATACCACATGTTTCGCATGTTAAACAACACAATAAAACATAATGCAGTTTAACTATGGCATAGCAACAGGTCTTCCAAAATTAACTGTGCTAGTTGCAAATGAATATCGCTGATTTCTTTCAAATTAGGCAGGAGCACAAAAGTGTTTTAACCAAGGTGCAGAGAGCAAAACAACCCTTAAATGAATTGCAAATATACAAGAAAAATGTAGGGTGATATGAGGGTTTTTCAAAGTCTTTTTTTAAAATTTTTTTTAGAATTTTTCTTCTCTCAAGTTGTCTATTAACAGTGATGTGGCTCATATGAGGATTCAATGATCTTACAGGTCTTTTCCAACCCAAAGGATTCTATGATTCTATGAGCATCTAGCCTTGTCAGAGGGATCTTCACCATCACAAATGCCATTTCAGGAGTGCCAAACAGCTGCAGAGCACTGTCATTATTCAAACATTTGTAAAAACATCCTGTTTTTATGAGTGAATATAGTGAATCCTGTAGATGAAAAATGAATTGGAGGGTGACTAAGCAAATTCAAAGTCAGATGGATCTTTTCAGCGCAGAACCATCTTATATTGCTCATGACTGTTATTTAGATAAACTCTTCTATACTTATGCACTAATGCTGTGTGGTAATAGAGCTGCAATAACAAGTGCTTCCATGGGGATGAGCAGCATAGGCAGCCCAAAGCATTTAATGACATCAGTGTTTCCTATAAATTAAGTGTGCTGCAAAATATTTTATTGACAGGAAATAGCTAATTCGTCTCAAGGTATCTGGCTCTTGATTTTATTAACCTGCAGGATGCTTAAACAAAGAAGCTCATATATAACTTTATATATATAAGGATAATTATTTCTGGAAAGGTATTGCTTACATATGAGACACTCTAGTGTCTTGTATAACAAGCAGTGGAATAATTGTCAAGGCTGTACCTAATCATAAACTAACTATCTCAGAAGGAGATAAAAGCCAATAGTTTTTCATTGGCTTCTTGAGAAAAATTATGCATACATGTCTACATACCTATATATACCTGTGTGTATATATGTACACTTCATCCTCTCTTTATCTGTTTTCAGGCATTTAATAATAACATTTCATATTCTGTCAAAGTCTATCCAAGAAGTTAACAGACATTAATTGAGATCCATGGTCTCACACCTGTCACTTTGATGAGAGATGGTGGAGTGGAAATGGAAGAAAAGCAAAGGGCCTGACAGCCAGAGAGGCCCTTGGTAAGCACTGTGCTGAGGGTCTGGATGTGATGCCTTTGCAGTGCTCCTGGCTCTGGGAGTTTTATTGCTGGAGTTGCAGCTTTCAGAGTTTTCCTTGGAGGTCCTCTGTCTGAACTCGTGTCACTATATTGCATTATGAGGAGGCTTTCATAGTCAGAGACCAGCCTGGACAAGGGCACTCCAAAGACCCAGAAATCAGAGTGTAAAAGAAGATGTATACTTTCTATTTAAAATATTCTGAAGGATATTTCACAGATTTCATAGAATCATAGAAAGGCTTGGGCTGGGAAGGACGTTAGAGGTAACCTAATTCCAATCCCCAGTGACTTCTGCAAGTGCAGGGCTGTCAGGAAGTTTCCCTGAGCCTAACGGGAAGTTGTGAATCTCAGGAGAGCATCAGCAGCTCCAGTCACCAGCTCTTGACCCTCTGCTGTGGTCAGAGCTGGGAGAGGTTGCCTGCACCAAAACCTCATGTGCCCAGCCAGGGTACGTGGGACACCCTCTCACAGCCAAGGCTCGTCCTGGGCTCTGCTACTGTAATTGTGACAAACTCCTCCTCCCTGCCATCCTCAGAAAGTGGCAGAGCCAGGGCTGGCCAGCCTTAAGGGGCTTGCATTTGCTGCATACAGTAAGCACAGACAAGGTGTCATTATTCCTATTATTGATTAGCTCTGTGAGTGCTCTATTAATAATTCAGGGAAATATATACTGCAAGTTTGCCCTGAATCCAGGAGCAGGCGCCAGACCCCACATTTGTTTTCCTGAGACTGCCAGCCCAGAACTGTGGGTCT